TGAGAATACCACAGTCTCCTGGGTGAAAGGCCTTTGTTTGCCTTATTTATCCACAGAGAACTCTGGGATGCACGTTGTTCTACTATACTGAATGGGCTTAGCTTGAAAAACTTCAATAAATATTTTCTACATATCACAAGTGACAACGACAGCCTCTGTTGTGTTGAATAAATTGAAGTAAAGTGAAACTATCACCTGAATGAGCAGCATATTTCTGTTAATGCTATACCATAGTTGGGGTTTCTGGACCTGGAAAATCTGAATTACTAAAGGGGCAAAAGTCATATTCATTAATGAAATGATTTTTTGTAAATGAAATATTTTTTTCTACTTTTTGTCATTCTCACTGTAAATTGACATCATGATTGATTGAAGGAAGAAGTGTTACAATAGAAAGGCACAATCTACTGAGTTTAAAGTAAGCAATCAAAATCCACACCAAAACCTAGTGGGTTCTTTCTTTGCTCGTGCTTCACCTCTTTATCAAGTTTCATGAAATCTGGCTCAGTAGTTTTTGTGTAATCCCGCTGACAGACACCTCCGGTGAGGCCCTCCACATGGCAGAAAAACAATGGAAAACTCGTTGTAATTACAGGCATGAAAAAACTGTTAATCCTTAGAGCCCTGTCACTGCCAATCTAGACACTTTATTTTTTTTTAAACATTTCTGGCTCTGGGAGTTCTCAGTGAAGCTTTGACTGAACACACAGCCATAAAGATAGGATATCGGCTCTCTCAGCAAACATGTTTTGGTACCTGAATGTGGAAAATGTGGATGAAAGACATCTGTAAGTGGCGAGGAGCGAAGCTGCCTCCATGCAAAAAAGATGAGGCCGGATAAGGAGGAAGCTATTTGTTCTGATGCCACTAAAGTCAGGCTAATTAATTTCAGTCAGACGTGCTTTGCTGTCAACATCCTTTGGCTTTATTAATGGATTTCATATTATCTGATTCTGACTGGCATTTGCATTCTGAAAGAGTGGGGACGTATTTGTTGATTTTTCCTACCATCCTTCATTTGCCAATAATATTGTGTTTGTGTGTGCAAAGTAAATGACATTGTGAGAGCGCGCTTTCATTTTATATCGCAAAATGTAGGTATCACTATACAGGATTTCATAAGCAGAGGTTTCTCATGAACAACTGTCATCTCCAACTACACCTTTTGGTTTCATGATTGTGGGTCCAACTCCAACTCACATAAGGAGTAATGCATTTTTAATCATGTGAGGGTTTCCTAGCACTTCATGTGCCTGCTGTCTGCTGTCTAAAAAACATAGTCGGGGACAGGAGAGAAATAGTGTGTCACATTCTGAATATTTTAAAGCCTAAAATGAAACATTTATGCTCTAAATAATGAACTTACAACCTCTATTCTCTGACTTTACATTAGAGAATATACAAAACAAGACACCTTTGTTCAGCTCGCCTAGGTCTTTGCATCATTCATTTGCTTCTTCACAATGGCTATAAGTAACAGACTCCCTTCATGCCTTTGTTTTCTGACTTTGAAATGGATCCCAGGAGAAATAATGAAAGCCTCCGTTGTTAGTTTCAGTCATATCTCCCGACACTCAGTGTGGCTTCAGTGTTTTGCATAATGTCCATGAATAATGGACCCATCTTGGAGGTACAGTCCCAAATACAACCTAGTTTTAGCAGAAAATCCCATTTGAGCATTGCTGTGAGTTCACCTGCACCGCGTAGAGCACGTAACACTCGGCGCTTCACTTGACTGAATTATTGCGTGCCATAGTCAGTGTGGGCTCTCCCCATCATCATCTCCAAATGATCAACAGTAGGGCAGCAGTAATAGATTTTGTAACAGCTGTTTTAGGCAGGTCAAGTCTGGCTTGTCTGTTTTAGTAAAAGGTAAAAAACATTTAGAATGTGAAATTGTGTTCTTGTGTACAGTACTGTGCCCTAAAAACAGCCTTTGTGAGGTTATCTGTTGAGTCACCATTTGGGTAAAGACAAAACTGTCCAGTATGGAAGATTTCTCTCGCTGCCATTCTACTTTTAAATAGAATGGGAGGGAGAGCCTTCAGTTTTCAGGCCCCTCTTCTGCAGAAACAGATTCCAGTTTGGATTTGGGAGACAGACACTATCTCTACTTTTAAGATAACGCTTAAAACTTTCCTTTTTGCTAAAGCATACAGATAGTGCATCATGGGAATCCCCCAGCAGCCTACAGCGTCACCTGATCCAGCCCTGAGTATTTTTCACTCACTGTGTGTTAACAGACCTCTCTGCACTGAATCATACTTGTTATTAATCTCTGGCTCTCTTCCACAGCATGTCCTTCATCCTGTCTTCCTTCTCTCACCCCAACTGGCCGCCCCTCCCTGAGCCTGTTTGTGCCGGAGGTTTCTTCCTGTTAAAAGGGAGTTTTTCCTTCCCACTATCACCAAAGTGTTTGCTGTGTTTTTCTCTATATTGCAAGGTAGACCCTACAATAATACATACAGAGCGCCTTGAGGCGACTGTTGTTGTGATCTGGCGCTGTATAAATAAAATTGAATCTCTGCAGTACTGGCATAGTTTACGTCTTATCAGTACAGCAACTCCTTCCAGCTGCTGTACTGACCTTCTGCTAGCCAAATTGGAGGTCCTCATCTCCTGCCAGGGGTATCAGTAGTTCTCAACCATCTGACTTAATAATACAACGATGCACTTGAACTCTTGGCTTTTTCTGCTTAATTCAAAATGATTTCGCATTGTTAAAAAAATAAATAAATAAATATTAAAAATATATATATATATATATATATATATGACATTGTAGTTTATAGTCGCCAGTCGATCGTGTAGTTTAACATGATTATTTCCTGTGCTTACTTCGTTTTGGGATGTGAGTAAAACATTAAGGAGCAAATCTTAAGCAATCGTGACTTCCTGATTTCACTTCCAAGTGGGGAGTAAAAGATTAAGATGTCAGAGTGCGCCATCATAATGTCTCTATGGGAAGTGAAAGAGTGAGGGATGAATTTAGGCTCTGACATTGGAGTTTTACCACCATCCTTGCCCACACACTGTTGTTACTTCCATGTACAAATGACAGTGCCTGGCCCACACTTATTCTCCTAGTCTGCCATCCTCCAAATGTACATGAAGACAGTGAGTGGGGAGTGACAATAACAACTCTTCTTTGAAGAGGAATGTATACTCAGAGGCTATACTCAGATGTGGGGGTGGAGGTGGTGCCAAAGAAGTGATGCATGAACAGCAGCAAGCATAGATTTCAGTGGGAAACAAGCAAATTTAGAAAATAAGTGAGCAAAGCACTAATGATATAAGTGCAAACGAGTTTCAGTAGCAGGATGCACTATGTGAGAACAGTTAAATTGACTGCCTAAACTATCTTCTAGAGTATCTGTAAATTTGATCACAGACAAAACTGCACACAAAGCAGGTGTTTCACTGTATTAATAAAGCAATAATAGCAGCCATTAAGATGTGTAAACTATGAAGAGTGTGTAGCCAACTGTCTTGCAGAACCCACATGTATCTGCAAGATAAATGCTTTTAATTGCTGCCCGAAGGAGAGTGAAGATCAATGACTGACATTCTTTGTCAGCTCTAATTTGCCTGGTTATATTTAGCCGTTATTTTGATGCAAGTTCTCGGGAGGAATCTACAGGCTTCAATCGAAGTTTCATGTGTGTGCTAAAATCTCCGAGAGCTAATTCTGCTGTTTTACAAATTCCAAATACTTGAAGTGTGTTATGGGTCGAGGTTGGTGGATTATAAACATACCTGTGGGAAAAAAGCAGCAAAGAAAAGGTGGATTCAAATCCACTCTTCTAAGACAGAGATAATATTAACATTCCCAAAAACACAACATTGGATTCAGTATTTTTTTTAAAAACCTCACAATTAGACGCAGGGTTGGGCTGAGGTGAAGGAAATGTGCTGAAGCAAACAGTTTGTGAGATGGTGTAATTTAATTTCCATATCAAAAGCATAATATGTATTGAATGTTTGCAGCGAGGGCTGCAGTGCTTTTGTATTTTTCTTTGATGTGGACACATTTGTGTTCAGACAAACACATTCTTGGCTCTTCTCGAAGGATTCGACTGGCTGCTTAGCACACAGACTTCTGGCTGCACGTCTCTTTCTGCCTTTATTCTTCTCTAACACGGGTTGTCAGATCTTTATATTGACTCTACTTTTCTCTTCCCAGGAGTACCAGATCGATATTATCTTCGCCCAGACTTGGGTGGACACCCGTCTGAGGTATAACAGCAGCAGCATGCGGATTCTAACCCTCAACAGGTATATTAGATTAAGTAAAGACATACTATAAAGTTTAGCAAAGACATACTGCAAATATACAGGAACGTTTATTAAAAAAACTCCTAAATATATCAGCTTTGTGGGTGAATCAATACCAATGTAGTGATAATTATACTAGATCTCTTTTTTAAAATGAACTACTGCTGTGGCTATTTTTCACCACTTTAGCATCTACTATTTGAACATTTTCATATGATAAAGCAATATTCTTCACTCCCTCTGTCTCTCTCTCTTTGGAAGAGGTCTGTAATTAATGGAACAAATTGATTGATGTGCTTTGTTTTCCCCTAGTTGCCCGAGTATTTTATTATGCTCTTATTGGGAATGAGTGCAGCCTCGTGCATTTCAAAGAAATCTGAGGGAATCAGTCTTACCTCCTTTCCTCTCTCTCTCTGTATCAATTTCCCTCTTTTTCAACCAGCAATATGGTCGGTCTGATCTGGCTGCCCGACACCATCTTTAGAAATTCCAAGAACGCCGATTCTCACTGGATAACGACGCCCAATCAGCTGCTCCGGATCTGGAACAATGGGAAAATACTTTATACTCTGAGGTAAAACCCTTCAAAACACACAGAACAGGAAGATAAAAGAACAAAAATCGAGAGCAGACATATCACAGCCAATGACTGCTGGTAAAAAAAATCTTTTCATGAGAAATACTCCCTCTATTCTGATTCTTAATGCCAACTGTATATTGTGGCTAAACAAAATTCTGCCACCAGTGTTGACATTGAGTACAGACAATAAAAGACATTTGGACTTTAGTCTGTCTAAAGAGCCAGATGGATGAACCTATCTGTATGGGACCATAGCAATCCAGATTTGTGGCTGCAAAAAAGACAAAAGAAGAAAGAAGTCAATGAGGAAAGACTTCTGTTGGCTTTACTGGCAGATTCACTGTTTTTTCATACATTTTAAATTAAGTCCAAAAACAGTACCAGAAAACAGGATTTACCTGTGATATTATTGGCCAACAACTTGTGACTGACAAGTCATTAGCCAATCAGGCTGCAATCTCACAGTCAAATGTGCCCCTCGTTATCATGTTTGATTTCGAAAGACCAAGATGGCAACAAAAGAAAACATTTGAAGCTATGGGTGATGTCACTGTAGCTCCGTCTGTAATTTAGTGTTATAACTCTTTAAATGTTTCTTGTTGCCCCCTGGTGGGATGTGAAGGTATTGCAAGTGGGTCTTTTACAATAAATATATGTTTTTGTTAAAGGAAAAAAAAGTTTCATTTTGTAGCTTTGTCTAAAATCAATTGTTTATATTCACAAAGAAATAAAAAAGAAAGAAATCATCACATTTGAAAATCCAAACCCTAATTTCTCTGATACTTTGTCCTTAGCAGGAAAGAGCTAAAACTGGAGCATTGGCTGTCGGCTGCCAAAAGTAAATCTTTGAAAGTAGAATCAACCTGAACATGCAGATTGCTATCCATTTGTATCTTGTCTTTCTGTTAAAGAGATGAGACTTGCCTTTCTTAAGGTGTTCTGTGACTGAAGTCTAATAATTAATACCAATAGACCGCATTGATAGAACTATGAACAGTCAACTGATCACTGCGTAAGGCTACCCCTCCTTCAGGCTGATTCTGCCAGAGGTTTCTTCCTGTTAAAAGGGAGTTTTTCCTTCCCACTGTCACTAAGTGCTTGCTTATAGGGGCTCATGCGATTTTGGGGGTTTCTTTGGAATACTTTAGGGTCTTGACCTTGTGAATAAGCGGCATATAAATGAAACTGTTTAATATATATTATTGTTTGTTAGATGGCGTTATCTTCCTTTCCATTCATGCAGAACGGGCCAGTGTATGCTATGTTTGAGGAGGTAACAAAAGGAACAACAGGGTGCTTTCCTTTAGCATTCAAAGACCAGCCATTATTATAGCTGCGCCATATTATACCGCTCACGGTAATACCGGTACAATGCTAGGCAATGATAAGAAAATGAATTATCGCAATAAAATATGGGTAGAACGCGCATGCGCATTGATGAAAAAGCACGGCGTAACGGAGAATGAGAATGGGGAAAGCAGATTGTTGAGTGAAACGGATGAACCAGAATTAGACTGTAAAAATGGTGCAACTTAACTGGTTTGGTGTTTGTCCGTCACATACATAACAAAGCACATTTTTTGTAGAACATGCAAGCGGCCGTCGTTATTGCCGTAGGCCTATTTGTCGGACTAAGGTGCTCGTAAATCTGGGAGTAATCTGGGTCCTAAACTCCGTCCTTTAAGGTCCCGAAGTCAAACGAACATCAGAAACTGTCTAAATTCTTCCATCTTTAATAAAACGATCAGCGTTGCTGATTTACCAGGTGTAACTATGATGTTTAACACCCAGGCATCCATGAAAACAGAATTCATTACATTTAACAGAGTTAGAAGTTAGCGGAAGTTAGCTCGCTAGTTTCGCTAGTTACCTAAGCATGATATAGCATGTTCTGACTGAGAGATTTCTGAAAAAATCTAACGTACAGCTCTGCTATCACTTCCAACATAAATGAAGACAGGAAGCTACACAGCAGTGACATTTGTAGGGTTACTGAAGTAGGGCTGGCTGGTATATAATGATGTGCTACGTGATTGCTAGCGACATAGCTATGTTAGCATAACATAAACAGAAAAGCTGGAGGATGAACGCTAACACTTTTCCACTCGATAAAAGTTAACGTGAAGGTTCCTGATGGTTAGAGACAAATGCAATCGCATGCTAGGATGCTGTAAACAGGCCAAACTTCAGTCAGGAGAACAACTGAGATAATCCATCCACAATATGAGGTTAGTCATTAATATACTGCAACAACATGGGAAAAGAGCAGCTGTGATAGAATACAGCATTAACGAATCAATGGTACAGAAGTGGAGGAAGCAAGAAGAATGAGTTGAATAAAGTTTGATTTATCTGACTGCTTTGTTTCGCTTAATGTGCCTAATAATCCCGTGCACCTTGTGGTCCGAAAAATACATATTTGACTTTTTTATTTGGCACACTGCAGTTAAATGTAGCAAAGCACCTCTTTTTAACTTCAGTGGATATTATACATGGTTATGCTCAGGATATGTCAGCCCATTTCTACTGGAAATGCCTTTTGGTTAAACTTTCAGCAAGGAATTTGCATTTGCACTGTTAAATGTTTATATAGCTTTAATGCACATAAAAAAACAGCTGCTTGTTTAAGTGAAATAAATGGATGGTGTTTTTTTTTTTTTGCGCTTTGGAGTTGTATTTTGTCTCGCAGAAATTATATCGTCAGTTATATCGTTATCGCAAATTTTCAAATATATATCGTGATATATATTTTTGGCCATATCGCCCTGCTCTAGCTGCCATGCAAAAACACCTTCAGGAATAAAATTCACTATTTGACTGCAGTTGGTGAGTCACATAGACAAACAGGAAGACACAGACAGAGAAAAACAGAAGGCAGATCCAGAACAATAAAGAGTAAAATAAAATCTCAGGAACATTACAGTTGTATAAATCATTTTAGTAACAGCAAATAATCTGATATTGGTTGTTGTAGAAAGCAGCACCTCCCACACATACAGAACACACAGCAATGCGATTTTGATTTGTATCTTTTTAAATTCTAACTGCATCTTTCACCCTTTACATGAGTTTCTGTACCACATAGCATTCTTTACCTTTGGTGCAGTAAGATAAAACCCTTGTGTTTCTTTTCATTTTGTTGCTTTCGCTCTGACAGCCTTTCAGTGGCTGAGTAATGACACACAGGTGAAGGTGATGGCCTTATGACAACCCCCCCACCCCCACCCACCCAACTGTGTGACTGCACCTACAACAGAAAACACTCAGGATTCGAGTGGACGGGTTCCTTTTAAATTGGAGTGGCATCTGGGTTTATGAGTCCTCAAGCTCTGACATGAGCTTTTTTTCTGTCTTGAAGATCAAATTTCACCTGTGCATCTAGTATTTCGAGCTAGAGCTGGCCTAATGGCAAGGAACCACCTTGAGTGTTTGTTTTCAGACATTTTGTGGAGCTGATGCACAGCTGCTGCTATTTCAGGACAGTTCAGGTCCCGTCATGGAGGCAAATAAATTCAATAAACAGCATTTCCCAAAATGACTAGGGTGTAAGACTCTGGCATTTCATTCCTTTGTCTTGACTGGCAAATTTCGGTTAGTTCCCTGGGTATGCTGTGATGTCTGCTTGTGCAAATACTCAGAAGGGAGCCACTTTTCAGACAGCCCACTTCCATTTTTAATTTATGGGAGGAATAATTGTAGCAGGATGATTTTGGATGTTGTAGAGGTTAATAACAGTGTGATCATGAACTTCTAAATTGAGCCATAAATATGCCTGTTATCAACAGGGGTTCAAGATTAAAATGCACTGCTGTGAAACACCAAGTTTATACCTGCACTAATCAATATTTTAATATCAACAAAAGACTTAATGATTATCTCTAATGTGAAAGAGGTCACTTGTGGTGACACACCCACAGGAATTAGCAGCCGATGTGGCTGTTTCCATCAACTCTACAAAGTATTTCAGTAGCAGTTAAAGGGGAGTTCAAAAAATCATTTTGTAATCTGATACTGGATCTTAAAACAGAAGAAAGCTGTCTTCAGTAGAAGAGGGAACTGAACTAAAATTTTCTGATTGGCTGCATCTCCAAAACAGGTTTGAAAAGCAGGTGGGTGGGGCTTGTGGTAAATTGGTCAGTTGTAATGTAGGGCTTTTCTATTTTTCTTGAGCACTCATAGCGCTTTATACAACATGCCTCATTCACACAAACACACTTGGCCTAAAGGTTTTTGCTTTTAAGAGCTCATTTTATTATTTCTAGCGTTTCTTTCTGTGATGAATTTGAAAAGTCTTGCTTCGTTAGCAGGTTATTAAGTGTCAAAGAGACATATATTTAGGCCATATTCGCCTTGACTGACACATCTCTCTCATCTCCGCCGTGTTCGTTGCTGCTTGTTCTTTTTCACCTCAGCTCCACTCTCACAATTTGGCTTTTCCGACTCCCGACAAGGATGGAAGCAAAAATGCAAATTGAAACTGTACATCATCTGCACTTTGTTCACCTCGGAACAAGATGAGCGAGGCAGCCCCCTTCCTGCTTTGACAAAGGCTCCTCTTTTGTGCTCCACGTCATGCGTTTAATGAGGAATTGTAGCAGCGACAAAGACACAACAACACAAGTCAAAGAAAAAGCCCATTTTCATGACTGTCATTTTTATAGCCCTTATCATTTTGATTTATTAAAGTGACACGTAGAGTATATAACTTGAATTGGATTTAAGTTTTTACCTTACTTATATGATGTGTCTTTTTAATCACTGCTGCTTTTCCTTAACAGCCTGTGTATTGACTTGTCCAGTGATCTTAGCTGAGAACTGCTGTTTTTAGAAGCTGACATGCCTTGGAGTCCTGACATGTGTGAAAAACCAGACCTGATACTGATGATGAAACATTTGTGCCATTTTCAGGGATTTTACACATCAACCAAGCAACCAAGTGTGAACCTGTACTATCCGGGTGGAAGCCAGTGCTCTTATACTGTAGTGCATAATGTGATATAAGCAGTGATGAATCCAGTGCACTCAGACCATGTGCTTCATGGGCCGAGAAATGAAGCATCCAAAGCAGTTTACTGCCTTGAATATCTTTGTCTAAGTGCTTCTGTCCCTCTGCACTTGTCTTACTCTTCAGGATGACCATCAACGCAGAGTGCCAGCTGCAGCTCCATAATTTCCCAATGGATGAACACTCCTGTCCTCTCGTCTTCTCTAGCTGTGAGTATTGGGATTAGCATGCACACAGACACGGAAAACACACATAAATATTGCAGATACTCGTGCCTATACACCTCTAGGGCAAGACTTTGAAAGCAGGCGGGAAACGTCCTGGAGAAAAAATGGAAACCAAATAGAATGTGAACTAAAGGCTAAGTGAAAAAGTGCTATCAGTCAATCAAACTTTATTTGTATAGCATCTTTTGTGTGGGCTAGTGCAGTTCAAAGTGCCTTACAGGTGACTGAAAGTATGAAAACAGTAAAGAAACATATTAAGGACTTATTTAGGTATTAAAATCACTGGAGCATTTGAGCATCATTCAGTGATGAGTGTCAGGGCTGGGTCTTTTTTTCCCTCCCAAACTATGAATTTGAGTTCATGTAATGATAATCCCCCACACACAATAACTAAGAAGTGAGAAAAGAGAAAGCAGCCTTTTGGATAATACACTTTGCATATTAATCATCAAGGAACTGACCTAACAGTAGGGGTGGGAGAAAAAATCGATACTGTGTAGTATCGTGATATTTTGTTTGCTAATAATGTATCGATACAGGGACAGCAGAAATCGATATTTTGTTACAAACTATTTTTTCGTGGACTGGATGGTTGTATTCAGTTAAAATGGTAAATGGTAAATGGTCTGCATTTGTATAGCGCTTTTCTAGTCCCTAAGGACCCCAAAGCGCTTCACACTACATTCAGTCATTCACCCATTCACACACTGAACTTAACATTCCAGTTAAGTTGGACTAGACTGTAATACAAACCGTTCAGTTTGTCAACAATAAAACTGACTGAAATGAGAGAAAGACTGAGTGTGAGACTTTGATATTAGATAAAATGAATATTGATAAAGTTTACCTTTATGTACAGAATTTGAATATTGCAAAATATTTTAAAAAAATTGCAATAATATCGTATCGTGCATTAAGTATTGTGATAATATCGTATCGTGAGTTGTATGGTGATTCCCACCTCTACCTAACAGCCCATTGTTCATTCAGTGACGCTAGTTTCAGTCATTGTGCAAATGTACTGTTTATAAGGTTGGGGAGACCTGCAGTCAGCTGAGACCTAAGAAGTCACTTGGATGAGTGAAACGTATGTCCCACTGAAAACGCTACTTCCAGATGAACAAAATAAACTTTTTGGGAGAAAGCAACTACTTTCAGCTACCCCCTTATTTATGAGTGTCACCGCATATGGCTTCTTTACATTGTTAAATCCAGAATCTAATTTAAAATCATTACCCTCTGCAACACTGGTGGTGCCATACTAGACCTGTTAGTGCTACTTCTTGCCTTCTTTGCATGTAGTGCAGGCAGTATAGTTACCTTTAACCACAGTACGAGGACAGAAGGGAAATATGGACCAGATCAGACAGGTTATAGATTCGTAGGAGCCAAGGGTGTATGACAACAGAAGACTTGTACACAGTAGGTGTAGAAAACACAATTGCATTTATTAGCAATTATTAAAGTTGTGCACATTTAACAAAAGTAGAGCGCTCTTCTTGAAAACAAAATAAAATAAAATAAACCCCACAAATGGTTGACCCAAGGATATATTGTCTTTTGTGTCTTTTCTAAAGTCAATTTCAGTCTTTCAATGTTCAATAGTCACTCAGTGTGTTTGTAACCAGTCGGGTTACAATCTACCAGTTCATCCGGCTCTTTGGGCTGGGCCATCCAGTACTGGAAAAGGGATCCTCGATTCTTCTCAGGTCCTCAAAACCAATCCAATCCAAATAAGCAAAGGAAAAAACCTGACCATGCGAAGCAACAAATGCTACACGGGGCTTCACAGTGCTCACGTTGGCTCACGGCCTCTGGAATACAGTATCACTCTTATTATTCTTGCCGAAAAAAGGACTTTCTCTATCCAGCTAGCTTCTTCGCCACACGGGTAAACTGATCTTTCACCGTCTGTGTCTCTGGCGTATCTGACTGGCACATGAAGGCACACAGGTGTCTGAGCAGCGCACAGACTGGGGGAGGGTCAGACCGGCCAATGATTGGTCGCTCAGTGGATCTGACAAACACACTCTAAAAGACTAAGTCCTGCCCCCACACCATTTATACATTACATATACATATGTACATATTAATTAAACTTATGTTTACATGCTTTTTATCAGTATTTATTATAATTAACTTTGTTTTTATCAATATTTATTTATACTTTTAATCCCGTTTTTAACACTGGGTTACACTTCACATACAAGGTCTTAAGTAACGAGGCCCCACTTTATCATAAAGAGGTTTCTTACTGTTAAAGAGGAGTTTTTCCTTCCCACTGTTGCTAAGTGTTTGCTCATAAGGCAGGAGTGTCCAACTCCAGGCCTCAAGGGCTGGTGACCTGCAAGATTTCGATATGACCCTTGGTCAACACACCTGAATCAAATGATTAGTTCATTACCAGGCCTGGAGTTGGACACCCCTGTCATGAGGGATTGTTGGAGTTTTTTCTGTGTTATTGTAGAGCCTTTACCTTGCAATATAAAGGGCCTTGAGGCGACTGTATAAATAAAATTGAATTGATTCACAGTGGGTAGTTCCATGTGTTTGATTGGGCAGATCCCCTTACACAACCCTAAAGGGATTTGTGTCTCTTTCCAGGATCAAACCAGGGATTTTTTGCTTGTTAGGTGAATGTGTAAACCACCACACTATGAAACCATGTACAACATTGTTTGAATGTGCAAAAAGTTTCCACAGTCAAATCATAGTGAAAGTCACCTTAGTTACTGAAGTCTAGGAGTTATCCATCCATCCATCCATCGTCATCCGCTTTGTCCGGGGTCGGGTCGCGGGGGCAGCAGCCTAAGCAAAGAGGCCCAGACCTCCCTCTCCCCAGCCACCTCCTCCAGCTTGTCCGGGGGAATACCAAGGCGTTCCCAGGCCAGCCGAGAGATATAATCTCTCCAGCGTGTCCTGGGTCTGCCCCGGGGCCTCCTCCCGGTGGGACATGCCTGGAACACCTCACCCAGGAGGCGCCCAGGGGGCATCCTTGTCAGATGCCCGAACCACCTCAGCTGGCTCCTTTCGATGTGGAGCAGCAGCTGCTCTACTCTGAGCCCCTCCCGGATGGCCGAACTTCTCACCCTATCTCTAAGGGAGAGGCCAGCCACCCTTCGGAGGAAGCTCATTTCTGCCGCTTGTATCCGCGATCTCATTCTTTCGGTCACTACCCACAGCTCGTGGCCATAGGTGAGGGTAGGGACGTAGATCGACCGGTAAATTGAGAGCTTCGCTTTTACACTCAGCTCCCTCTTCACCACGACGGACCGGTGCAACGTCCGCATTACTGCAGCTGCAGCCCCAATCCGTCTGTCGATCTCCGGCTCCCTTCTCCCATCACTCGCGAACAAGACCCCGAGATACTTGAACTCCTCCACTTGGGGCAGGAACTCATCCCCGACCCGGAGTGGGCACTCCACCCTTTTCCGGCTGAGAACCATGGCCTCAGATTTGGAGGTGCTGATCCTCATTCCCGCTGCTTCACACACGGCTGCGAACCGTTCCAGTGCGAGCTGGAGGCCTTCACCCGATGAAGCCAACAGAACCACATCATCCGCAAAAATCAGAGATGAGATTCTGAGGCCACCAAAGCGAAAGCCCTCCGCCACTTGGCTGCGCCTAGAAATCCTGTCCATAAAAATTATGAACAGAACCGGAGACAAAGGGCAGCCCTGGCGAAGCCCATCACCCACCGGGAACGAGTCCGACTTATTGCCGGCAATGCGAACCAAGCTCTTGCAACGGTTGTATAGGGAGTTATAAAATACATAAATGGATTTAGAAGTCCTACATCCACACTTAAGCAAGTTACTTCAGCAAATGGATGGGTACACCCAAAGTATCTTTCTACTCAATTTTGAGCACTCAAAAAGCTCAAAGAGAGTCTCATTCACCCAGTCACACACATGCAGTGCTTTTATCTAAGCACTTTTATATCTAACTTTCACACTCAAATCAATGTATCAGCAATTCAGGTTTAAATATCTTATTCAAGGATACTTTCACACAAGGACAAGAAGCACTGGGGGTCGCTCCACCAACCTTCCAACTGGTAGATGACCCGCACTATCACCTGAGCCATAGCCGCCCCAAACAAACTAAAGGTGTTAGGTTGTTAGACTGAATCTTATCTGGAATCAAGTAACCAAAAGAACAGCAGAGTAGATCCTGAGTGTCTGTATGTTGATTCAACAGGGATAATATTAAATTAAAGTTGACACCTAAGAACTTCATGCATTATTTGTATCTCCACCATAAACTGATGCAGGAAAAGTACAAAGTGGATGATAGAATGTAAAACGTTAAAGTCCTGACCCTCAAAATATCCTTGTGTCTAAACCCAACCAAGTAGTTTTTAATAACTAAGCTTAACAGCAAGTGAAAGTAGAAGACAAATGAGAAAATTGTTATAAAGTGTAAAATTGTTAGAAAGTGACAAAATACAGTGGTGTCTGCAAGATGCAAAGAGGATATCCTGCCTTGGAAACTGTTATCTCTCAGCAGTCGATATTACTGCATCTGGTCTGTCAGAGCGACGTTGCCAAAGAACACCTTGTATGTAATATGGAGAAAAAAGACGCATCTGGCAAAAAAAACAGCATTTTTTTTTACCCATCACGATGAAAACTTGTTGGCCAGCCAGCTCAAATCTTGATGTGGTCCAGTATTTGAAAGTGAGCTGTTGCTTCCACATTGTTAGAATACAAATAGCAGTTGATTGCTGAATATTTAGTAGCAAGGAAATTACAATACTGGATTTGTTGGATAAATGGCATCCTATCACGGTACCACGCTGGAAAACACTAAATGCCTGAGAGTGACCCATTCTTTAACAGATATTTGTAGAAGTAGTTTGCATGCCTAGGTGCTTTATTTTATACACCTGTGCAAGTGACTGGAACACCTGAATTCATTGATTTGGACAGTGAGTGATTACTTTTTACAGTGTAGTGGATGTTTTCATGAGATGATCATAT